CCCCCCCCCGGCAGCGACTTCCGGGCGAGAAAAGGAAAAAAACAAAAACGCCCCACACCTCTCAATTCATTCAGTGCACACGGCACAGAAACAACCGACCGACTCCCATGGTACTTACATCGTCCGCTGCTCCCTCCTCGACTTGTGTCCGTCCAGTTGGTTCCGTTGCCGCCCGCCGAACGAGACGGGGGTGGCCCGTTTCGTGTTCGCCGCTTTTTTATTTTTCTGTCGCCCATAGAATTATTTGATCCTGGTCGTTTTTATTTTTATTTTGTTCACTGTGATGCAACGAGTCCATTCTCTATCCATAGATATAAGATTGCTCACGGGATAGATTAGTAGCGTTGTTGTAAGACGATCGCAGCCTGTATTTCTTGTACGGTTCCCCGAGCAACATATACAAATTGGTGATTTTTTTTGTTCGTGTGTGATTTTCGTTTCTTCCTTTTCGTGGAACCTACCTACGTACCTGTGTTCGCGCTTCCCAGGTGTCTCGCGTCCAGTACGGCTCCGCGGGCCACGACGAGATGCCCAGAGGCCTCCTGCTGGAGAACTTTCTCATGCACAGTCACCCCGGCCAACAGTTCGGCAACGGCCTCCCAAAGGTGATCGATTTGTTGGTTTGGTCGCAACCGTACAGCTAGGTTTCTGTACGAGGATTGATTCTCTCTTGGCTGGGTCGCGTGGGGGGATTCGTCGTTTGGATGCGAAGTTGAGCGACCAATAGACGGATGCCTGTTAGAGAAATTGTTTATTTGCTTGTCGTTATTGTGAACTCTGGTTGTTCGTTGTGAAACGTAGGTTGGCTCAAAATCAACACATCTGCCCTTGTCTCGATGAAAGTTGCATGTTGTTCGTTTTCGTTCCGATCCCAGTCGGCGAGGTAAGTCTGCGAAATACTCATATCCGTCACAGCGGTGTCACCAGCCAAACGCTGTTTTGGTGGGTACTACATAGATAGACGCGGCACCCACTGCATTTTTCTTTCCTCCCCGGCCGGGATCTTGTTCTGATTTTTTTTTTTTTGTGTGAAGGTGATGGTAAACTTGGACCCGTCCGAGCCGGAGCTAGGAGTAGTCGAGCCCCCGCTGCGGAGCATGCACAACGCCGAGGGCTGCGACTGCGCAGGTTCCAAGTCCAGCGGCGTCTCCAACCTGCGCATCAACCACTACCTCGGGAGCATCGGGGACTACATGGACAGGACCGCGAGATACTGGGAGGTATGATGCGTTGCTGGTGGTTACCAGGCAGCACACACCCGATTGGTTTCACGGTTCTCGCTCCCAACTTCTGCATGCATCAACGATACCGTATTTGTTTTCTTGGCCATGATTATGGGAAGGGTAGGGATTGCTGCCCGGCTGGGCTTTCGGGCGGGGATTCCGGAGCTTGCCCAGTAGCGGTTCGGACGTGGCCGCCGGTAAACGCGTGGGCCGGGATGATCCTCACCTATACCTGCTTCCGTTTCTGCATCTGCCAGAAGATACACAAAGAGAAAGTAAAAATGGACATAACTCTCACCACACAGCCAAACGCCCTCGGCCTGCTGTCCGTCAAGGTGTGCCTACCTACCTTCCTGCCTCCCTTCACGGCAGTCCGCCTGCCCCCGCCCCGCCCCCCCCCCCCCCCNCCCCCGCCCCGCCCCCCCCCCCTTCCGTTGAACGACTGGCTATGTTGCTTTGTGTTTTCCTTTCAGGGCCTACCTTACCTGCCTTCAAGCCTATCCGCCTACATGCCTCCCACCGTTGAACCACCTTTTTTTTTTCCTTGTTTTGTTTCGTGTTTTTTGTTCTCAGGAGAAGAAGCAGGGCGAAATGGCCGCGGCGAAGACGGTGCTGCACCGAGACATTAACGACTACCGGTCGGATGACATCGAGCACTGGGCGTGCGCCACGAGAGAGGTCCTCTTCCGAATCGTTGAGGGCCTGGACCTTGAAAAAGGCGGAGAAAGAGGAGGGGAGGGAGAAGGAGGAGAACAAGGAGAAGTGAAGGCCGTCTCTAAACTCGAGCCTTGACTAGAGGGTTTCTGGAGGGAGTGCTGACTCTCTCGGCTTATGGGCGTGTGTTTTGCAGACGGAAAACAGTGTAGATATGTGCCAATCGACATTTATGGCGTTGGCGTCCCGCATGTCGTTGCTTCGATGTTGTGGTTGTTGTTGTGGTCTGTTTTTGCGTTTTGTGACCGGGGCGCATGTGTGTATCGTGTCTAAATGTTTGTGACTGAAAATCTTGTCTTTCGTCTTTACAAATAACTGAGTTGCAATCTTTGACGTAAGAGCTGAAAACTGTTGCTGTGTGTGTCTAGTGAGGAAAAAATATCGAACAAACTATGGTGCGGTAACCACTGCTGGTGCGGCCGGTTTTGCACCCGAGGGCTTCGCAAAGAAACGAAGGAGGCGTCTTGCCAGAGAATACCGGAGGCATGTGTAGACCCGGGGTGCCGCAACATCTTCCTGCGGGGGGGGGGGGNCGAAGCGCCGTGAGATATTCGGCGAGTCGCATGAAGGGTGCGCTGCATCCTGCTAAGGGTGTTCGGCATCTTGTGCTTGCTTTCTTGCGTACGGATGACAGATGCGTATGACTTAATTTATTTTCAGGTGCTTTCACCTCCTGAGACAGTTATAAGCACTGTGTAACTGCCTCGAGGGTGCTTGACCATTTGAACACAACGTGGTGCGATCATCCCCCTTGCGCGGAGTGAGGGTGCTCGACACCGCACAAAATGATGTGCTCGACCACCATTATGGTTACCGCCAAAAAATGAAAGGTAAAGAAACAAACGGTAACCTGGTTGCATAGTTCACGAAGTGAATTGGGTCGTTTTATAACGTCTTTGCCAGGCGACGAAAAACCACTCCCGATGGCAAACACCGGGGGGGGGCGGCTTGTTTTTTAACGTCGTTGCCAAGCGACGAAAACCCAACCCCAACGGCAAACACCCGGGGGGTGGGGGGCATACTCTTTATGTTTTGCATGCCTCAGCGGGTAGACCATTGACCACGCGTCCTCGAGAGGACGGAGCATTGTTCCCACAGGACCGATCACCGATGACCAAT